AAGTCAATAGTGCAAAACAAAGAGATTTAAATTGGTTTGTGACCATAACATAGCAGCTTTAATGTAGAACTCTTGGTAAAGATTATTTTGTTTAAAGTGGAAAAATGATTGGTATCTCATGCTGTCAGCAACAGGTCAAACAAAACAAGACATTGTACCTCAAAATGTGCATTATTAAAATAAAAAAAAATGCTGAGAGAATATCAGTACTGCATTTCCAAGAAAAGGAAAGGAAATATTAGCATTCATGGTGGATATGGTAGTTGTTGGAGGACAACTCCATAATGGTCCAGGTTCGAATGCTGGTAGCGGAAAAGAAAAACAAAAAAGGGAAAAGAAAATGAAATTGGATATGGGCTCAAAGGTAGGCCTTATAATGTTAGAGCATATTGGAGACAATGATGCACACTTTAAAATTATTTAAAACCTTTCTGAGAAAGTGTTTCAAGTGAGAGTAATTTGTCTATTCAAAAAAAAAAAAGTGAGAGTAATTTGGCAACTAAAACAGTAAGGAAGTGTCCCCAGTTTGACAAACTCTAGATTCTCTTGGTTGAGATAGTGCATATTGTTCTGATTGACAACCTCTCCCTGTCCACATGAGAAAAATATATGATAAGATCAAAAATATCTTACCATTAAAGCCCCAGTGGGACAGAAGGCAGAATCTAAAACATAATGTCATTGTGCAGGTAATTTAACAATTATAAAGAAGACACACACAGGAAAAAGTAATGTTAATCATTCATTTTATTATATATATATATATATTAGGCTCAATAAACGTGGTGAAATTGGTTATTTTGTTTGTATTTATCATAATTAAAGCTTTTTCATGTTTTGTTTTATCATTTTAATTTGATAAACAGAGGCATGGTACCTTATATTCCTAGTCATGATTTCCCCAGTGGACTAATTTCTAGAGATGAAATGAAGCATGAATTCCTGCCCATATATGCACACATTAAGAAAAAGAACAGTAACCAAAGTGTGTCTTATGGTTTTCTGATCATATAGCAGAGAGGAGGCAAAGCGAGAGAGAGAGATGTATTTGTCATTTCAACCACAAGTGTACAAATGATTACCGACATTGCACAAAGTGCCTTTTCTCCTTTCTTAGAAAGGAAGTGAACCTCATTACCACAAAATAAAATAAAAAATAAGTGAACCTAAATCATTGAAGGTTTCAAAAAGATAAAGTTTATATAATTTTTTTTATTTTTTTTTGAGTTAACTCAATCCTAATAACTTTTTAGAATTCACAAATTTCGACTCTTTAAGTCGATTATGGAACTAACTGAAATGCGAGGCGGATTAAGGATAAAGATATTTAAATTCCTTTCAAAAATAGTATGTGGAGATCGAACCGAGACCATTTTCTTTTCACTTACTTAACTCCCTTACTATCAACTGAACTACCACTATTTTGTAAAGAATATATAAATCTAAAAGCCAGAAAAGCCCAATATTCTGGGTTTGTGATTGCTAGCAAATGCAAAATGAATCAAAGTGATTCAAGATTTGTGTCAGATTACTGGGTCCGAAAATTATATACCGAGGGAATCTTATAATAGTAATTTTAGCCTCAACAGAACCATCATACATAAAATTTAGCTACTTTTTTCCCATTAAAGTTTACCATACCTCATCAAAGCCCCAAACTAATCCACCTTTTCTCTAACGAAAATCATTAAGACAAACAATTAAATAAGTAAAAAAGTTAAACAAAGTCTAGTTTTTGGATGGCAATGGACTTTAATTTGTATTATGAAGGAAACAGCAGAAAAAGTACCTCAAGGTTGATGCTCTTATAACTAATTTTGTCACATCAAATGAAAACACTTGTTTATGAAAAGGGAAAGAAAGTTAAGATTCCAAATGCAGTGTTCCTACCATAAATAAGGGAAAACTTTAAATTTTTTTTTTTACATATATATAGTATTCATGATAATTATTTGCTTATTGCTCTAGAAATATCTGGGATGTGGTCCATCCACTGTTTCATTATTATTATTATTATTATTATTATTATTATTTTTGACTTTTTGGATACTTAACAAAAATTATGGAGCTCATTTTAATCTCTTAGAAAAAAAAAAGTAGACTTGTGGTCCTTTTGAAATTCAAAATAGGCCCAATTAGTCGAAATTGTGGTTCATCTAGCTGAAATTCAAAGAATCACGAGTCGACTTTTTTTTTTAAGAAATTAAATTGGGCCCCATAATTTTTGTTTAGGACCCAAAAGATACTTTACTTTATTTTATTTTTTTTAAGTTTTTGCTGAGAATACAAGAACAAATTTTGTATTGATTATAAAGATAGGATATTATGGCTATTTTCTTCCGGGAAAAATATTTGTCTTTTTAAAGGATATAATGTTGTGTCATTTTAGATCATAATCGTTGATTTCCGTTAATAAACGGTTATAATTTATTGGGTCGCACTTAATGGGCCAAATTTATTATTAATTAATTAATAATTTTAACCTAATAAATTATAACCGTTGATTGACGGAAATCAAGTTAGAATCTAAAATGACACAAGTTATATACTTCAAAAGAACAAATGATTTCCCCCTTTTTTTTTATGTCTACTCTACTTAGTTTTTTTAATACCATTAGATCAAAATCTCAACTAAAAAAAAAAAAATGGTGAAGATTAGTTAAGATTATGATATAACGATATTGTGTAGATGAGTAGATACAGTTGACATGAAAAAAGATAGACATAATATCCTATGTCTCAATTATATGTCTATTTTAACACCTTATCTGCTTTTCCAGATGTAAATATATCAATCACAAAATGTAAAAGATTTTGCTCATAGCTTAATGCCTGCACATATTAGCAATTTATACTTGATCATAGAACAAATGTACATTTCTTAGTTACCATTTTAACCTTCTGTAGTTCCATTTCACAAAAACAGGCAAATTTTTTAGAAGAGAAGAATGATTATCTATAATTCTTTGCTTCATAAAGCACTCAACTGATGAGTCTCGTGCCTTACGATGCGAACCTACTTTCTTCTTTTTAGTCCATACTTGAGCATTTTCTCTAGTGCCTACGCCAAGTGGCAACTATATTTCGAATTGTGGCAAAAAATATTTAAATAAATAATCTGTTGGACCGAAAAAGCAATCTGAACCTGAAATCACTTGGGCTTTTCCAAGTCATAACCCAATGACAAAATATCCATTAGGTCAGCCAACGTTCAAGTAATTTTTCCATGTCAATTGGGCTTTTCCAAGTCATAACCCACTGAAAAAGATCCATTGTTTGCTCCATTCCATAAATCCAAATGCCAAAATAAATACCTAGCACTTATGAAATATGGTGAGAAAACATAGGGAAAGAGAGGAAGACAATTGAAATTTGAATTCTAAAAGCTTACTTTGTCAGTAACTAGCTATAATTTTTGTTTCTTATTTTTTGTCTTCATAAGATGCATCTCTCAATAGAAGGAGAAGAAGTTACACCATAGGTTATTGCACCATTATTTAGGAATACAAAAGGTTGTAACCATAAAACATACAATAACACCTAATAATTCCTAAGTTGTAACCACATAAAATTAAGGTAGTCATCTACCATGTAAAATATGTGTGTTTTACAACACTAGCCAATTTATTGTGTCCAAATCTGGCCATTCAATATTTTATTTTTTCAAATTCCTATTGCAACACTATATTTGCAAACATTTATTAAATTATAATTATCATTTTCTCTTTTGTAATTTTGGACTCAATATGTATTGTTTAATACGTTTTAGAATAATTATCTATAAGTATAGTGATAGATTAATTACATTTCTAGTAGATCACACATATCCAAGCCTAAATGTTATTAAAACCGGCTCGGTCATTGACCCGGTCGAGATACTGAGTCACTAGGTCACTGGTTCAACTAGTGGGTCACTGGTTCAACCGCATGACCCAGTAATTATATGTAATTTTATAATTTATATTAAAAAATTATAAACATACTCAAATATCTAAAAAAATGATAAAAATTTCAAATATTTTAATACAAAAAATAATAAATCACGTATTATTATCAAATAAAAAATCAAACAAAAATATAACGATCGTGATACGGGACTTTAGGTTCAAAAAATGACATCTCTAACTATAAATTTATTCAAAATTTTATGCATAGTACACAATTGAGATAATATTAGTGTTGTAGGTACATAACTTATGTAAGTCAATAAACAAAAAAATATTCAAATATGGCTATTATGATTTTTTTTGAAAAAAACGAAAAATTTGGAATTTTTTGTTTTTTTAACCGGGCCAGGTTACCGGTTTTTTATGAAAACCAGCCGGGACGGACCGAGTCGCATCGATTCTAATTCATGACCGGTCCGTTGCTTCAACCAGACCGGTTATATGATCGGTTTACCGGTTCTCGGGTCGACCCGGCTGGGTCAGTCCGATTTTAATAACTATGCTTGAAAGTATCGACTCGACCGTATTATTTTGTATATAAAGGAACTAGTCCCGTACATAAATGTTGTAAAAATACTAAAAAAAAATGTGTAAGTGTATGTTTTAGAAATTGACGGTAAAAAATTGACAAAGTAATATATCATATTATATAGTTTTAGGAAAAAAATATTTCTCATTTTAAATTATATAATTGTTATTTTATATGAAACACTATCATTTTATTGTATAATTAATAATTTTTTACATTCTCTCTTTTCCATGAAATTAGAAATAGAGAGAAAATAGAAGATAAAGAATATGTAATATTATCAATTATGCATAAAAAAATGTCATTTCACTTAAAATAATACAAAATTATATTCTTTAAAATGACATAGCCATAACTATGTTTTCTAATTTTATTATCTACAAATATAATATTTAACATTAAAAATGGCACAAATAATGAAAAAGTGATTTAAATTTTGTTGGGATTTTTATAACGTTTTCAATTTAATAGATAATAATAAAAATATTAAGCCAACCAAAGAAAACCAGCTATTCTTACAGCTTTATCTTTTTTTTTTCTCTCTCTCTCTCACTCTCTAAGATTGTGGTGTCATCAGTAATGGACACGACGAAGGAGCCAAAGGTGGTGACTCTGAAGCCAATCGAAGCAACTCCGTCAACCTTCAAAGAGTACGGTCAGGTCATCGAGGCTTCGCCGGACGGCGATGAGTTCGGTCCCCATGATGCTCAATTGGACCTTAGCCATGGAATTCCCAGGTTCTCAACTACCATCAATTTCTCTCTTTTTTCAATCAAGCTTCCATTTTTATCATCATATCAATGTTTTCTCACACACCCTTTTCCCCTCTTGTTTAATTTCCCTTGTGTACTTTTTATTCTGCTAATTTTGAAAGTTTTTACCTTGTGTATTTTTATTTTTATTTCACCTTTCTTCCTACCATGACTTTAAGTTGAAGCCTGTATGTGTCGATGTCATCATCATATTCATATTTACTCCAATTTGGGGTGGTTTATACTTTATATAGACTATCTTCTTCACTGTTATGATCATCATCACTTTACCTCTCATATTCTTATCCTTTTTTAAGTGTTATCCATACATCAGTATCCATAATCTTAATAGCAAAATACATTTGATCCTCATAATCAATTAAACATAGCACATCAATCTAAAACTGATATGGCAGCAAGAAAATGAAGTAGCACATTTTACAATAGAAAATAAAGAAAAAGTAGCACCAGAACACTGAAACAACGTTTCTACTATGTACCAACCATCCAACAAGAGAATCATATAGTATTTTAAGCAAGACACACCTTTCTCTCCTTCTCCTCTGCAGAGAGGAAAAAAAAGTGACTTACATTGAAATAAATGCGATACTTGTCTATCAAACTAACATAAAGAAGAAAGCAACACACTGCAAGCTCCATTCTCCACCATATATCAAACATCAACTTTTCACCACAAATACCAGATGGACCTAACTTCAGTATTTTGTCCCTTTTATAGGATTTTTCTTACATAGCTTTATGATTGATACTTCACATGATTAATGCAGTTATACTGTACCGAAGTTGCAACTTACAGGTAAATGTCTTCGCTTGTATAATAACAGCAATTAGCAGAGCTTATAGATAATTGGGAAAATTTTCTTAAATAATCTGTCATCAATATCTGAGTAACTCTGAAGAATCATGAAGTGTTAACTCAGATTCATTGGAGGTACAAATCTCCTTCAAAATGGTCAATTTAAACTTGACTGTGCTACCAAAAGAAAAGAATGGTTCAGTGACAAATAAAACCAGCCTGGAATGGCAAACAACCAATTTGTCTTCAGCCTTGATTCCTTTCGTCTTCATGCAAATGGTTTTTTTCAGAGAAAATGTGAGAGTTATATGCTCTGCAGACTGCAGGGTTATAGTACTCAAAACAAAATACATTGAATAGGGTTGAAAGCAAACTGAAATTGTATCGCAAAGAACAATGGCTGAATAACGTTAGGAGTTGCCCTTAACATGGGTAACAGGATTTATAAGGACTAACTTGTTATGGTTTTAAAAATTGTAAGGGCTACTTTGTATAACAAATAAATGAAGGATCAAATTGCTTGTGCAGGATACTTTCAGGAACTAGATTACCTATTTACTCATTTTTGAAGTGTAAAGCCTGAACTTATGGTCGAATTTTCAATCTCCTTAGGAGTTGTAATCAACTTTGATTGGTTAAATTTTATTTGATTAATCTATGCTATTGTCAAACATAGATTTATAGAGATGAATTGATTGTTTTATTTGATGTTATAGTAATTCCTTGCTGTTTGGATTGTATTATCATGACATAAAGCGCTCAAAGTTCTTTTTATTTTTCCTTCCTGTTGTTGTTGTGGATCAATTTGAGGTATCTTGTGCTCTCAGAGCAAACAAAATCTGCTTATTATCCTGAAATTACCCTAGCAAACAACTATATATCAAATTGGGAGGCATACAAACTTAGGAATTCATTGTGGAAACTTTGCAAAAACACTTCAAAATCTGTTTTGCTATGCATAGTCCAACTTAATTTAGTTGGGATAGTGATTAGATTCCTTAATTATGCACTAACTTATTTGAATTAATGTGTATATGGCAGGTTCTACATTATGCATCTGGAAAATCGCCCGCTTAAGTTTTCTAATATTACACATCATGCAAGCGTGACTCAATGTCTTGGGTCCATTGGTGGTCATGTTTGGTATCTTGGAGTGGCTAAGTCATCCATTGTTGATTCAAATGCAATCAAGGATGACACAGGCAAGAAGATTGTGCAGTCACCCAGCGGTCATCCATATGTGCCTCCTGCCATTGAGGATGTCCAAGTTTTCAAGGTTGCAGGTTCCAAATTTCTTAAGCTTAATCGTGGGACATGGCATGCTGGCCCTCTATTTAAGGCAGAGACAATGGACTTTTACAATCTAGAACTGAGCAACACAAATGTAAGTTTTACATGCAGGAGTTCATTTGCAATGCTCTTTATATGACCTGGGAATTATATTTCATTTCTTTGAGTTTGCTCTTTATTTTCTTGACTTGTGTAATAAACTTTGGAGCTTCAGATGTTTAGTTGAAATCTTTTTTATTTTTCCCTTTTTGTTCGTGCAGAAGGTAGAATTTATTTATTTATTTTTCTATCTTTTGTAATAAATTTTCTATCGTACAGATGGCATTTCAATTTTATGTCTTGACTTTTATTCTCTGTACAGGTGATTGATCATACCAGACACAACTTTAAGAAGGCCAATGGAGTGCTCTTTTTAATCGATGAATAATTTTATAGCTTTATCTAGTTTCCAGCTTTTCAACTGATTCTGCATAATGTATATCATTAAATGGAACATGTTATATATGTAATTTCTGGAAGGTTCCATGTTGTGATCATTTGGTGCCACCAGTCAAATTTTCCATTTTACTTGTATAACTGCTCTATGAGATAATTAGCATTTCACATAAAGTAGTGACCTTTACCATTTTTCCCTTTTTTTTTTTATTTGCATTTTTCTACACGTTCAAAATGAAATCTGTAATGCGTATAGAATTTATATGGAACCAGAAAACATAAGGCTATTATTAGAGAGTGAAAGAGAGGAAAAGGAAGAAAAGGAGGTACATGTCTCAGAGCATAGGATCTATTGGCTATTAATGAAAGATTAAATCTAACAAGATGCAATCAAACTTCACTGTCAAGTTTTTAACGGCAAAAACACTTAAAACGTGAACTTAGCAAAATTGTGAAACTAGAATATACAAATGACAACAAATTCATCAAAATCAAGAGATTACACAAAGATTTTGTTCCCTGACATGAATTTGCTTCATCTTTAAATAAATGTATTGTAATTATTTGAATCATTTCCAAGTTGCTGCTCCATCTGGTGGTGTCTCAATAATGAATGTCAATCATTACTAAGCCCCCATCAACTGCATAATAAGAAATTAAGATCAAACTTCTTAATTCATTATGAGATTTTTTATATTCAGAAGTATGTGATTTTGCAAGTTCCTGGATGGTTAATATTAAACTATTGAAACGTATTAGTAGTCACCTTGAATATATCTCCAAACATTCCCATGGGGTTCCTTCGCTGTACTCCATAGAACTTTTCCGCAACATCATCTAGCATCTAAATCAATTTTTTTTTTTTCATGTCAAATGCAGCACAAGGGGTTGATTTTTAGTTACATGCAAAGAGAAAAATAATCATAAGATAACAACCCAAGACTGGCCAGAATTTTCATAGAAGCATACAGTTACACCACATCTTGGAGGATATATTTGCTAATTGCTACCTACCAACAATAGAGGGGAAAATAAAGAGCTGACCTCATTGAACGTTGGATCCCTGTCAATGCTTGACTTAAAATTTGCTCTTAACATATTAAAAAGAGGCAAAGCATCTCTCTCCATCCTGCATCAAAATAAATAAATAAATAGACTACTCTTCTTCCCATGAAACATGTCTCATATTAAGTACTCTCACTAATTTTTTCACCTATGTACAATTTCATCTATTACATAATAGGATGAGCATTTTGCTTTACTTATATCGAGTGCTATCTATCTAATTGGTATATGCCTCTGTTCCTTACAGCAAAATAATGTGCTTAATTTTAATTTGCTTCATTTTCTTCCACTCTAAGGAATAGAGCCATATATGTATAGCACAATCAACACTCTTTATAGAAGTATAAAAAAGTTTGCGTATCCTGTAATGGATGAAGTACAAGAGCAAACTATCAATATTCTTCAAATGATAGTGCTTCCAGTTCCCTTCAAATTGAAGTAATGCAAAATGTCCCTTTACTATGTCTGAACTTACAACAAAAATCAATCAATTTATCGACTGAACAATATAGACAGCTTACGTTGGCAAAAGATAATTGATGAACTGCATCAAGTCTGTCCGAGGAATCTCAACCTCAGCAGATTCAACTTGCTTCTTTATCTCATCCATTAGTATGTTCGCATCTCTCAAATTACCTGAAGATAAATACCTATCATGCAAGAAATGAGCAATTCTCAGTTTGAAACCCTGTTGAAATATGCATGGAATTAGTTGTTGATTGCAGGTTAAAGACATTAACCAAAGAAAACAAGGATTTTGAATTTAACAAGTGTGTCAACATCACTGAAAACAGTGTATGCTTGTCTTTACTCATCAATTGTCACCGAGGATGTCCACTAAAGGGAATAGTAGAGGGATCTTTGTTGTAATAATGTATGCATCGATGATGATTAGTACAAGAAACCTAAAGTGAATATTCTCCTTATTTATCACATAGATAGCAAAACAGGGAGGATAGATAGCTTAAGACTGATTCTACTTTGTATTTATTTAAGTTTTTCATATTTACAAGAAACAATGTCCTAATCTTGCGTACTGTGATCTGAATTGAAAGTGTTTGTTTTGACAATGAACACTAAGATGCTAATACATACTGCAATATACAAAAAGTATTTAAGCCAAGTTAAAATGCATTCAGAAGCCATAAACAAAATTATGCTGAGAATATCTATGCCTTACAGTTATAACGCAACAAGCAAAAACTTAAATTTCATCAGAATATAAAAGGTTATTTAGGTATCATAAGCATCCTGGGAATCCAGGAGTGAGAAAGTATCGATAATGTTACCAGGGAATCTCAAAGTGAGAATTATGTTCTTAAATGCTTTTACCTTAAAACCGCCCGAGCAATGGCCAAATCACCTTCGCCAGGATAACACTACAATATTTGAAAAGCATATCAATTTAATTTTCCCAAAACTATTCCAAAAATACAAAATGAATACCTCAGTTACCTCCAAATTAGTTTTAGAAAAACCCAATAATATAACATGAGTCCTAGTATAAATAAAATCATCATGGATGTTGAACCAATTTTTAGCAGAAAAAGTAAGATCAAAATTGTTTGGCATGCCTCAACAGAATTTTGTAAAGTTGAACCAAATAACAAGGAATAAAAAGGTTAGGAGGCTGACCCTGCCCAAAAAATTCACTAGAGTAGAAGCAAACTTCTTTGGATTATTTCCTCTTACAAAGTGATATGTCACTCTAGTCATATCCTGCATGTAAAAAGTAAATTCATGTTTATTCACCACAAATAAAGGTAATAATAGAGTTTCAAGTGTAGTGAAGCTTTTGATAGCATAAAGCCATTTCCATCAGCTCAACAATTCAGAGACATGACCTGCTCCAAATAATCAATGCATTTGCAGTATACTACATTTGTTTTATGTTTTATTAGCTCAGAGTATACTGAAATTCATTTACATTTGCCTTGCCTCAATCTCACGTAAGTAGAAAGAAGGATAAAAAAGGAGTTGTTGTCCTCTTCCAAAAAAGAGAGAGGATCATATCCTTCTCTAAACTAACTCTAATACCCTTAATGAGGTCCCTATTTGCATCCCTTGAAAGTATCAGCTTAAAACATTGTTGAAACTTTGGGTTTTGACAAAGAAAAGGAGATAATGAAGGCTGACAATGTATTATGAGATAGATAGTAAGATGTTACTCAATTACAATAACCTAATGCTCCATCTATTTATGTTATTAATTAGTTCAAGTACTAGTACTGCTAGTACACGCCCAAGCACAATACAAATAAGAGAAATAACCCTAATATCTTCTAACACTCCCCCTCAAGCTTAAGCTTAAGCTATTCATACCATTATACAGAACCTGAATATCTTCTAACCCTAATATTGTTCCCTGATAGAATTTTCCCTAAACCCTTCAATTCAAAAAACTTATTGCGATTTCGTTCAACCAATAATCAAGGATAAGAAAAGTTCCTACAGATGATGGTTAAAGAAACTTGAAACAAACTCCAGAGTGAGGATTCAAGAGAGGCAATTTGAAGCAAAATTGCGAAACGTACCACCTCAGGACTTTCAGAATATATGTATTCAGCTAGCATAATATGCAGTTCTGGAGATCCAGAACTATTTGCTCCAAATTCGGCAGACCACCTGAATACAACAGTAGCAAAGCCAGAAATATTATTCAGGGAAACAAATGATTATAACGTAAATAAGCATAAACAACTATGCTGATAACTCTATTTCATATCAATAGCCTTCTAATGTAAAAGTTCCACAAGATTCCAAAAAGGATTAAGTCTGAGGGTTAGAATTGCAAAGATAGGAAGAACAAATACAAAGATTTTATTATAACCCTCTACTTAAATAATAAATACCTCCCTTTCGACTCAACTCTGATTGGCCTCTCACATATTCACACCCCAGCCCACACATTAACTCCCTCTGCCTTCCACATACTTCCCCTGTTATGTTCAAATAGGATCCTATTAACTCTATATCTATTATTACTTGTATTCCCAAAAAAAGTCTTAAAGGGTACATAGAAATTTCTGTATGCTTGATGCTTCTATGATAGATTAGATGCTCAATTATAAACATTAATACGATCATTTTAGAGCTTCTACGGCCAAAGCAACATTAAATGCATTAGTCTCATATTGTGAACTGAACATTACAATACTCAGCATAAACAGACACATCCAACTATTTGTTAATAGAAGACAACAGTATTTGGCACTCACTTGCACAGAAAAGAGAGGGAGCTCAGTAAATGCATAATATAATCTAGAATTTTTTAATTTTGGGAAGTCTCACCTTATAGCAGCTTTTAAGAATGAGGAGCAGCCCTCAACACGTGTCTTTGCAGCTCCAATGGTTTCAGAAAGCTGCTGCATGTCATCAACATCCCACAGGTGTTGTGGCAGTAGAACCCGAGGAAACGTTTTGTAGATTTTCTCAAGAAGATCTACCATTGAAATTTATTAGTAATAAGAAGGAAAGTTTCATGTTTTACTACTATACGAAACCAAATAAGAATGTATGTTTATGAAAACACATGACAATTACCAAATTAAATATTCCCACATGCAATTAAGTAAGAACAGGATGTGATAAAAGCAAGTGGTCTAAACTGACCAAGGGAGACAAGACAAAGCATTTTATATTGCATCACAAATAGACACAAAGCATTTCTCTTCTTGTTTTCCAAAAAAAAAAAAAATAGACACAAAGCATAAACTTCTGATAAAAAAAAAAAAAACTGTAAAAGACAGTATAGGAACGCACCAAGTGTTTTGTCATCATAAGGAATTTTCCCTTTCCCTAATGTCTCCACAAACAATAAAGCAAGCTCTGCTCCACATGTAACCTTAAGAGAGAAAGTAAGAGTTCATTTGCTGTTTGTCAAATGTTAAAATTATTACCATATATTTTTATCATAGAAATAAATATTTTATTACCAGAAATGTGTTTTAAAATTAAAAAAAATATTTAAATTCAGACATAAATGTCCAAAGGATTCCTGATCCTCCGACAATGTGTTTTATTTTGTTATGATCATAAAGAAATCCAAGTCCGAAGCTGTTGACTCGTTAGAGGATTCCTCAATCCCTAACCAGCATGATTCCTCCTCTCAAACAACAACATGGGGGTAAAGCATCAAACCAGACTCTATCACAATTAACAAAATATAAACTATAGCAATTTACTTATCTGTCAAACTGTTATAAGTGGAAGTACATAAAAGTGCATTATTAGGAAGTACATAAAAGTGCCCAGAACAATTGTCATTTAAATAAAAGTACAGAGACATATAGTCATTTAAATAAATAAAGCTGGCAAGTAGCTTTTGCTCCACAATGAAATAGAAAATGTAGAACCTGTCCATGAGCCAATTGAATGCATGCTCCTGAATGTAGGATATCTAACGCTTCAGAGTACCTCTGAGCAGATACATATCTGCAGCAAAGTGTGTATACTACATCAATGTCTACAACTCAACCGATGAGTATGTATTAGTTAATGCAGTCGTAGGCCAAAACAATGAAGCTTATCAACATTTTTTTTCTGAGGTTCATATGACTTCAACAAGCACAGTTCTATAACGATGATAAGAGTAAAGTACATTCTATTAGATTAGAAAAACAAGAATTTTACTAGAGAAGCTGGAAAAAAAAAAAGACATGTTCAAGAGCAGAGGGTAAGATATATGAAACCAAAATATTCAAAAAACTCATATAAATAAGAATTACATATCAAGTAAGCAAAGCTTGCTAATCTCTGTATATTTAACAAAGAATCCCCTTTAAAATGCCATTAGCAAAGCACAGCAAAGACGTTAAAAGACCTAAAGACCATGTTATACCACAAGAGAAATAACAGGAAAACAAAATAATTATCCTTGAAAACTTCAGCAATCCTCTCCAACTATAGGCACCAAATAATACTATAAGTTTTATACTGGCAAAGAACCTTGCCTTCTTTACTCATCCCAAAACTTAAACCGGCATATTAGAAAATACTCCAAACTCTCTGGACAAACTCATTATTCACCAAAAAATACAAAAAGTCTACACCACGTGAGAGTAGTATTATCCAGCTCCAAAAAGAATAGAATTGATATGAAAATTTATGGTATATCTATTCTCCAAACTAAATCCTCAAGCATTGATGCTAACATTGTCCTTCAGGGGCTGCAAATTATGAACTATTCCATGCTATTTTATTAATCTGCTATCTCCAGTTTGTGTAACTTTTTACCACATGAGTGGATCTCGTAAAGTATACACTTGTAAATGAAAGAAAATAACTACAGCAAAATTAATTACGCATAATTTAAAGTAGCATTTCAATTGAAGATCAAGTGAAGAATATATAGCAGATAATGTTTGATAATAAGTAACAGCAAGAATCTGTTTGAACCTGGCACTAATAGATTTGTACATTTGTTGAGCTCCATAATAATTGCCCTCGTTTACAACTTTCTCCAATTTATCAATATTCTGCATTTCACAGCAGAAAGAAATAAGATATATTTGATGAAGAAAAAAAACACAATGCTTTCAAGACGCATCAAAACTGACAGAATGTAGCAAAAGCAACTCTACTGACACTTCACATTACAAAATTTTGCATATCTTGAAACAAAAAAACCTCAGAAACAAATGAACTCTTTTTCTAATATCAAAATATCCATTTATAACATTAGACATAAAATCTTCACGATAGCAAATAAGCAAATCAATACCATATTGCTTAACTCAACTCGACCCTTTTACTAACAAGACTTAAATATCCTTTGGAAAAAGATACATGCAAATATAGAGTTACAATAGTACGAGGATGTTGTAGAAGACCGTTATTCTAACCCTTTATTTATGGGAAAAAGAAAAGCCAACAAAAGCACGCAAAGGAATCAAAACATTAATTTTCATAAGGAATCAACTAAAAAGCACGACACCATCCACAAGCACATAAAAACCACCGCATCATTCATAAAGTTAAAACATTAATTTTCACCGAATGCAACGTTAGATGTTACAGAAAACCATTATAACGAAGACATAAAAAAATTGATGGATCGCAGATTTTGGGTACCTCTTGAGCGGGAGGTAGTTCGGTTCTTTTGGATCTCTGTCGCGACATGATGATGATGACGACGACGATGAAGATCCCTCTGTGCTTTCGCAAACGAAAAATGTGAGAAAATGGGGAAAAAAGAGAAATCTTGTATTTATATAAGGACAAATCGAAAAATTATATTTTTCTTGGGGACTAAATTGGAAAATGAAAACTTTCCTAATAAAGTAGGATTTTTCTGAGTTTTTAAGGTTAGGGATAAGGATTAGAAAAATTGAAGGAAGATGGGTAGCAAAGGGTTGCTTAAGGGAGCATCATTATCATCTTATTCATATGCAAATGCAATGTGGCATAGAAACAGTTGCTTCAGTTTCAGCTTCCCAAAGGTAACGGTTAGCATCCAACAGAAGTTGTTAAAGTTCCGAAGGTTGTCATCAACAACCACCGTCTCCTCACTTGAAACTCCAGATGTGTCTCGTTTGGCAAAAACAGCTCAAATCTCTCTTACCCCAAATGAGGTTTTAAGTCTCGCATGCTTTCATTATTTGGGGTTTCCTTATTTTCTGTTATTTCGTTTTCTTTCATCTAAAAATATCTTATTTTTTTATTTTATTTTATTTTTTCAAATAATGATAATATGGTTATTGCAGGTTGAAGAATTTGCTCCTAAAATTCAACAGGTGGTAGACTGGTAAATCTAGGTTATAATATTATGAGGGTTTGTAAATTTGCTTTCTTTGATTGATATTAATGAAATCTGGATTCTGGGGTCTTGTCATTGTTATTGGGTTTTGAGTAATTTCATTCTAACTTCCATCTTCCAATTCTTGGATCCACATCTTGACCCATATTCATATTATCCTTGCTGCCTTAGTTGTAACTAACTTGCTGTCTTGGGGCCTAACATTTTGTTTCTAACTGGAAATTGTGATTTATTTGTTCCTGGGGTTAATATTTGCTTGCAGTGATCAAATCTTTGAATTTGGGTTGACTTGTGTGGCAGGTTTGGACAGTTGCAGTGTGTTGATCTCCAAAGCATTGAGCCCTCCATCAGAGCAGGTTCTTTGTAAACCTTTATTATCACTTTTCATCCATTAATGATTTCATATCCTTACTTTGGATTTTCTGTACTGTTTGCATATGCCATACTGCCAAAACATAATGAAGCTAACTTTTGATATACCAAAAACTAAGTTCTTTCATGTTCTTGTTCTTCTTGTTTTTGCGTTATTCAATCATGTTTTTATCATGGGGAGGGTTTTCTAAAGTTGTAAATTGTGATGGCATTACATTCATTCATGTACTGAAAATGCATGGTTAGTACCTATTCACTAAGAAATGTTGGTGTTAATATTAACGTCTTGCGCAATAGCAAATCAATACTTTGGCAAATGAACTATATTATCCTCTTTCAACTCATTGCTTTCCTATACTTCCCCATGGTCATGCTAGTTTGTTCAAAAAATTCTATATGGTGAAGCGAATTTTCTGTGGTGCTTTGACTTTCCTCTTTACTTATTTCGTAAACAAAGAAGGAAACAACTGAGGGGGAGGGGAAGAGATGATGGTAAATAAGTATCCTGCTTAAACAATATAATTTCATCATTCAAATATGTTAAGTGATTCTCAATTAAAGTGCCTCTGTACTCCGGTGAATTTTTGTTCAGTTATGCATGTGTTTTTTACATGACTGGCAGAAAGCATCATTGCTCATTGGATTGGCTTTATACTTTTAAGTTGCTGATTTTTTCATGTTATCTTCTGCAGAGACTGAAAACAATTTGCGTGACAATGCCCCTGAAACATTTGATCATAGGTGAGTGGGTTATTCATTATTTGTAATTTATAGCCATAATTGAATAACTAATGGTGCTGACAAAGTAGTCTATCCTTGACAGGGATGCCATGATTGCATCTGTTCCAAGCTATGAGGAGCCTTATATTAAAGTTCCTAGGGTCTTAAGCATGGATTAAAATTGCTTAGATGAGTTATTTGGTATAACGAAACACTTGAAAGACTATTGTTTTGTACTTCGAATTTCTTGGTTCCTTATGTGTCCCAGCTCTTAATTGAATTTTTATGATGGAATTCAACTCATTAACTCTGCACTTAGGACAAATTTTGAAATTTGTATTATCATTTGACAAATATTCAAGGTGTCTGATTATGCAATTGTGTATATAGAAACGAGTTTCATCATGGAAGTTCAATTGTTGTGGTCGAGACTTTCTTTAAGGTAATTTTATGCTTGTGTTGCCATGATTGGAGAGATGCTCTTTATTTAAGCTGTTTTTGTGGATTAGGACGTGAGGATCTTGTAACCGGCTAGAGAGTGCTTTTTGTTTCCTTCCTGGATCTGGATCCTCTCTGTTAAGAAAAACTTGAGATGATCATGTAGAGAATCATACTCATATAAAGGTGGATCAATGATGACAAAAAAAGAGAAGAAAAAAAATATATTAAAATAGGTAGTTACAAAATCATAACCGTTGATTCATCGTTGTATGATTGTGATTTTCTCACGTAATCATGTCATGTTTTTTTTTTTTTAACATAAAGAGGATCCATTTCCTTTTCTCATGCCTATTATGAGAGTTTGATCTCATTGTCTTTTTCAATTAAAAATAATTAAAGGTATTAGTGTTTCTTATGTTCTAGGAAATAATTTTATCTCTTACACATATAAAAGTGTGTGGGGCTCATGTGAAGAAAAAAAAAAATATAGGTCTCACACACTTTTATGTGTATGTGTAGGAAATAAAATCATCTCCTAAAATATGAAAAATACTAATCTCATAATTAAATATAGTAAAATTTCTTAATATGAATTAGGAGGGTCAATTTATTATCTACCCTTAAAGCCCTATAAACTCTTGAGAAGTTTTTAGAGAAATATAATATAAAATTAGGGGCAGGATATACTTATCCAAAAAAAGTTTACCACTCTTACAACCGATTTATTCACTGTTGATTTTTGTTAATCTAATAATTATAATTTATTAAAAATTAATAATTAATTAATAAGTGTGACATAATAAATGTTATTAATTTTTAATAAATTATAACCGTTAGATTAATAAAAATTAATGGTGATTAAATTAGTTGTAAGAGTGGTAAATTTTTTTTTGTGGAAAGTGGGTCCGTTCCCGTAATTTTCATCATGCCAATACTAGAGGGGTTTAGTGTTTGTCATTTTAAATGACACAACTTTGTGTCATTTTTAATGAAATTACGTCGTTTTGATGTGTTTTTTCATTTTCTCTAATTTATAAAATTAAAAATAAAAAGAAAATGAAGGAGATATAATGTAAAAACTTACCGAAACGGCATAGTTTCATTAAAAATGATACAAAGTTGTGTTATTTAAAATGACAAACATTTTTCTCATGCAAACTTTTGATAAAAAAAATCTCTAAAGCTTTTAGATGAGAATACTGTAGCGGCCCGTTACAGCCTTAGGTAGGCCTAGCAAGGCTAAAGCTTTTAAAATGCGTATTCAGTTAAAAAGACATTTGAAAAGCCTTTTAGGCGTGGAGGGCTGGCCTGTTTGTTTGTGTGTGTATATATATATACAGTTAATTTTAATATTCAAATCACACTGCCTAAACAACTAATGAAAAGAAAGGTTTAATTGTATCTTGTAATTAGCTAAGGGCATGTTTAGTGCACAATATAAGTTAAGATTTAATAGTATAAGATATGATAGTATAAGGTCTGATTGTATAATATCTAATTAGATTTTAATATTATCCAGCGTTTGGCGTGATATTGTATAAGGTATATATGTATAAGAAAATATCATCTAGTGTTTGATAACGTACTATACAATACTAGATATGATAAATATAAATATTTTTAATAAAAATACTCTTTAATAAAGAATTTATATAATTCTTCCAAATATATCATATGGTATTAATTTTTATAAAAATCTATAAATCAATATGTCTAAAAAATATATTAATTTTTATAAAAATAAAAATTAATTTTTATTTTTATATATTAATATTAAAATAATATATTAGTTCTTGAGAGTTACACTTGTCAGTAATGTTAATACATCAATCTCTTATTAAGCCTAATCTTACTCCCTTAGGCCTGATTAAGTTATACGTTATTTTGATGTATTAAGGGGTTCTGCTATTTAAGCTTATATTTAGGGGTGTTAACGGGCCGAGCCGAGCTGAGCTTTGGTCTTAAAAGGCTAAGACCGTGTTTAAATGTGTCAGCCTGACCAAGCCTGTTACCTGTTATGAATATAATTATCGGCCTGTAGCCTGACTTATTTGCAAAAAATAAAAGTCTGGTTTAGCCTGTTAGCCTGTTTGAAAAAAATAAGACAACAAAAATTTATCCAAACAAAATATACAATCAACAACACTAGTAATTCCATAAATATTCCTAAATTTAATGTATATCCAAACAGCATAATATAAAATAAAATCATTCAAAAAGTCTATTTAATTACTAAAATGGGATGAAATAGATTGAGGAGAGAGAGGGTGCTAGTACAAGTAGTATAAAAAATATAAAATAAAAATAAAAATAAATATATTAGGCCAGCCTGAGAGGCTCTAAGGCCGAGCTTTTGAATTGGAGCCTTAGGCCTTTTTATAAAACGAGTTTTTATACAAGTCCAAGCCTGGTTCCAATAACCAATTTTAGACATGTAAGCTTAAGCCTTCACGAGCCGAGCCAAAGGCCCCTGGTTTGTTTAGCACCCCTACTTATATTATACGATGGTCACACCAAACAATTAAAAATATTATAACATATAGTATAAGCTTATACTATCAGGCTTTACACATTATGTTGCACTAACACTGACACAGGACACGACATGCCAACACATTAATTCTAAAAAATGCTATATTTTGACACGTTTGAACACGTTTTGATATTAAATAATATTTTTAATATATATAATATAATTTATATTTAATACATATAATAATTCATATAATCAATCAAATATTTAAATTTCATAATATAAATATAAAGCAAATATAATTTTTCATGTCAAATTTCATAACAGAAAAAAAAAATGATTTATAAATTATTTTTTCATGTTTAGTTAATAAAATAAAAGTTAAAAAAAATGTGTCGGATATGTTTCGGAGCATTAATCGCGTGTCCCAAAATATTGATCGCGTATAGAAACATGTTAGTATCCAACACATGTCTGACATGTATTTTTAAAAAAATAAATTACGTGTTAGTGTTTTGTTGCTTATATATCACACCAAATATCATGTTACAGAAGCAAAAAAATTTCATATTTAACTTTGTACACTGTTTTTTCCAATGATTCTAAAACATTGTAACTTATTGTAATAAAAAAAAACTTTGTAACTTATTTTAATAAAAAAAACATTCTAACTTATTTTAATAAAAAAAAAACTTTGTAACTTATTAGTCCACATCATTGATTGAGACTGTTTCTGATGCTAATAACTTTGCCTATTTAAAAGTTGGGTTTTATAAGAGTTATGTTGTAGGAAAAGTGATTGTGTAATGTTATAGAGATTCGTTTTGCGTGCCTTAATTTTTTATTTATTTTTTTGTTTTAAAAAGTGTGGGCCCCACAAAATGTTGTGAGAGTAGAAAAGTTTGTTGTGTTATGTTAAAGGATAAAACGAAAACCCTTAAAAGTTTAGGCCTATATAAGTTTAGATTCATTAAAAAGTTTAAAACTATATTTGTTGTCTATTTAAAGACTTTAAAACAAAGTAGATTTTAAATAGGCTTTTAGGCCAAGTCAAGTCTTAAAAAAAAGCTTGTATCAAATAAATAGTTCAATTTCACACCTTAGTTTTGAAAAAAGAGGCTAAATTAATTTAAAACAAGGCTAATTTGCTCATCTTTACCCATGCACGCCAATGCATTGAGCCCATTCACTTCTGGTGTTTGTGTCCTTCAAATGTCTAATAGAGAAGTCATTTGCCGGTCACATCAATGTAGAATATCATATTTTTAAAATATATTAAATATAAAATTAAATTCATATATAATATTTCATGTCATTATAAGACAACTAGTAAACGCTATTTTAAGTTCATAGATCTCTGAATTTGCTATTCACTACTTTTGAAGTTGAAATATGATTGTTAAGTCTTAATATGCAATGTGTAAATACTCTAAAGTGAAAATAAAAAAATTAAGAGAATCTTGTCAAAATTTAATTTATTTGATGTGAATATAAGTAAAATAAAATCCTATCATGTATAAGTATGAAAACAAAACACAAAACTCACAAGTGAATCCTTTGCAAAGTGAAGACTTCTTGATTCTGAGATCTATGCGTGTAATTTGGCGGTACCCTCCAAAAAGTATTGCATTATAAATTAATCGTTTAAGACTAGTATGTGATAGATAGCTGAGGAGAAATAAGTTTGTTTTGCTGCATAAATAATTGAGAAAAATATTTCTATTATAATAAGAGATTAGTGAATTCAGAAAGTTTTCTTTATGTCTGCACATTTAGTAATGAGATTCGAAGGCATCATTCTCGGAAAAATAAATTGTAAAACATGTTTAAATCAATGCTCTATGTACAAGGTGATGAACCCGCTCGTAATCTAGTTGCTTCCATAACAAGCTGCAGACAATAGTTTGATCAATCTTCCCCCCTAAATCTTACTAATCCTCCAAAACAAATATGAGAATATACTCCAGTACATCTATACATCATCATTCTATTTATAATGATGAATAAAAAAGTCAACACTACATGTACAGAAAACAAACAAAATCACAGTAAAAGCCTTAATCTCTAGAGATTAACTTATTTGAAAATGTCACACCTGCAATCAATCATCTATTTTTAAGCCATAATATAGCACCAAAGCTGAAAGCAAACCCCAATAAAAAAAGAGTCACACAGAAAGTACGACAAGACTCATTATAACTCACATTAAGAAACAAAGAAAAAGCCTATAAGCTGAAAATTACCTTCTTGAGAAAAATATTCCTTCAATACATGCAAAAGCAACAAGTCTCTCCACAAATGAAGTGGAACTGTAGCTCATGCATTACAAGAAGTATTAGAAAGCAATATCTACGTTATCTTTAGAAGATGTAAAAGTCATTCCCCAATTAAACCCGATTAACGAAATGAAGATATGAAGCAAAAAAATTAAAGCAACACAATAAAAAATACTAGATAATAGCAAAAATAATAGAAGCTAATACCT